ATACGATTTGCGACATTGCTAGAATTGAATTTTTCGAAGAGTACGGTCACTCTGTCAGGTCCGTCAAATAAAATAATTTTCGAATCGTACATATCAATATTAGCCTTATATTTGTGTAGAAAACTATTACTTAAAAGATAATACCCATTTAAGTTTTTAACAACCGCGCATTCAATAATAAAACTGTGCTCACAGAAATTTAACTCAATTAAAGTTGTACCTAATAAATCTAAAGGGGACTCATTTGCTGTAGTAAGGGTCGTGTTCTGGGCTGGAATAATATCATGATTCATAGGAAGTGTAGCGCTACTTATTATGCTATTTGATGCCCCCGTATCAATAAAAAACTTTGACTCAATACAATTTAATTTCCCAATTATTATAATTTGAGGGATCGATGCGCAATTTGAAAAAATGTTAGAACAATTAGTGACACCTGTGATATTTAAACTATTTTGCGCTAATGCTGCTTTCGTAATGGGGGCTAGTGATTGAACTTTTTGGCTAGGTCGCGAAGGAGTGTCAAAATTCGCCCAACCATCGAATTTTGACTTATTCGTTTTTTTGAGTTTACTGCGGGCGCCGCTGATTAGGGGCCCACTTATTAGTAGACGGACCTCCTGGGCCCTGATTTTGCCCACCATTATTGTTGTTATAATTTTGACCTGTATTATTAGAAAATCTGTTATTATTATAAGAATTATTATTATTAAAATTGCGATTGTTTTTGTAGTTACCATTATTAATATTATTATTATTAGAATTGTAAAAATGACCGTCTGTATTTCGATTTGAATTATTGTAATTTTGATATTTATTATTATATCTAGTGATATTGTTAAAATTATTGCCATTGCTGTTACCAAAATTATTATAATTACTATCGAAATTTCTACTGTTATTATTAAGATTCCTATTATTATTGTTGAAATTCCTGCTATTATTCCTATTATTATTCCCATTGTACTTATCTATTAGCTATTAAATTCCAAACTCTATCGCTAATTTTACAAGTTTGATTATTGAATGTGCGTTTTAAATAATAATTATAGAGAGGAATATAAATGTATATAAAAGATTATGTAACTCAAAGACTTAAATTATAGTTATACCTAACCATACAATTGTTACTATTATAATAAAGTGAGCCAATAATAAATAAAAAATATTTAATTTATAAATTAACCGTGAAAAGCGGTATATAAAAATTGTAGTACACTTAGGGGGGATCCCTCACTAAAAGTTTAAAATAAACAGAGAGTTCGGCGCCTCCACCAATTGTTACGTCGCTATTTAGGAGTTTAACCTAAATGCCCGTCAACAGTATTTTAAGGGACCAACGGGGTATAGCTGGCTAGGCTATATCTACCTTAGGTACTGAGGTTTCCTTTTTAATTTATATTCCCTTAGAGATACTACCAAGGGTCGCACTACAATATATATATAACACTTTAGGTTAACAACGATATAAATAAATATTTATTAAGTGATCGAAATATTAAATAGATAATACAACCTGCTGGACACCTAGAGATAATATAATCCAACAAAGATCTGACTTACTGAACACTCTGTATACGTGGTAGAAAGTTAAGTTAATTATCAGTAGTGATAGCGATGATGATAAAAGGTCAACTGTCGATAGGGATATATTATTATGGCACATTGGTCGTGAATTGCAAAAGTGTTTATGTGTGCAGTCCGCCCTTCTGTTAGTATTGTTGTATGTCACTGTGTTAATTATATATATATATATATATGTCTATTAAACAGTACAATGACGTTATGGAAGACAGAGATATGGATACATGCAAATGTGATCGTATCAGGCTATAACATCAAGTAGTACCCAAACACCAGAGAGAGTATTTTCATTGTATCCCTTAGCTCATAAAGCTACAATTGCATTAAAATATATACATTAAACATTTAAAGGTTATATAATTTATTTTAGGTTAAGTATTATTATTGGTCCACATGAACCTTACATAAGCTAATGATGCCAACCATTAATTTAGGAGTGTCCTGGCGCAACAATTATTATAATTCAATAAATAGTACGAGCATTTATGTTGATCACATAAATCTAGTTTAGTAGAATATTTAAATATCATCAAGGTGTCAATATTGGAGAAGATTTGTTATATATCAAGGATGTCACATGTATTAAATTATTATTCTTTAAAGACTCTTATTGGTAAACATTTTTTTATAATTATTAACTGTGTAAGAGTTATTCGTTGATATTTTGTTTGAATATTGTTTTTAAGTACCTAAATAAACTGCATTATACATTTTTTAAATTATATTATTCATAATTTAATATTGATTCTGACAGAAAATAACGTCAAACATGTAAAAATAATAATTTTAATAAAAAATATCAGAAATAGAAATGGAGCAAACAGTGACGAAATATCCTTGAATATATTATTGTAATTTTTAAAAATATACATCCATTTGCTTACATAATGATTCATCTTTTTAAACACCTACATCATTGTATGATTGAATATAATTAAAAAATGTATTTACTAGGTATATATATTTTTATTTCTAAGTATTTATCTATGCACACATACGTATATGTTACTATCCTAGTACTTTATACATAAAATATTATTTTATAAATACGTAAAATAATTTATATCAAACTAAAATGAAGGAACTTGAGAATCACTATATTAAGATAATTAATATTATTCGTTTTACATGAGATATGTTATATTTTTCAAATTAACTATATTACTACTACCTAATCAGAATAATATTATTTTCTCTGTATGCGTCCTGAAACGCATATATGATAGTTAATTATACACTGTCAGGTATCATTTATATTGTCCCAACTATACCACGGCCACACTGTGGTGTCGCGACCTCACTATGTTATCGTTTTTTTTTTTGGGGAACATATAAATTACAAACAATAGATTATTTGTTATAAGTTGTCCAACTAAAAAAATAACTAAAATTTATTTATTTATTGTAAATTTTAAATTTTAAATAAGTATTTTGTGATGGTGTCAAGTTTTCATAATCGTGAGAATTATTTTAATAAAATACAGACAGCACATCCGCTGCCTGAGACTGGTGAATTAACAAATAATATTTATTGCCAAATCGGCAATAGGTGTAATTATTATAAAAACCCAATAGACCTGACCATCGTGGTCAGTCGACTCCAGTGCCTTGTGTCATTCATCAGTCTCAGTACTCGGTTGTCGCTGTCCGGCTTACTGTTTAAAGTAAAGTCTTTGTTTATTCCTTTTCTAACCTATATACTCTTTTCCTCGACATTTTAGAGTACTTGTGTCTTGCACTTCGTCTGCACCTCGTACTTTGTTATACTCCTTATCTGGTACGCCCAGTATTTGTGTCTTGCACTTCGTCTGCACCTTATACTCGGCTACCCCGTTCTCTCTTTGGAGTACTTGTGTCTTGCACTTCGTCTGCACCTCGTGCTTTGTTATAATCATTATCTGGTACGCCCAGTATTTGTGTCTTGCACTTCGTCTGCACCTTATACTCGGCTACCCCGTTCTCTCTTTGGAGTACTTGTGTCTTGCACTTCGTCTGCACCTCATACCTAGGTGTTACTATTATTCTCCCTTCCTATAACAACACGATTTTTGGATTTTTATAACATCGATATTAGCAGGTACACAGCATTGTTATTATCAATTGTAGTAAGGCATATTATTATGAGTTTATAAATACACTAACTGACAATACAGAAAGTATATCTATTGATAATAATAAATGATAATAAACAATCTATGACTGAGACAGCAATGTCATAAAAATCCAATTAGCTACCTGTATTTATAATCCCATGTGTATTATACATGTATATTAACTCAAAATTTTGAAACTTTAAATGTTTATATCTAATAAGCTAATAAAGTTATATTAAAAATTCAAATGCCATTTACTATTAAATTAAAAACTCAAACATTTTATTAAATTAAAAATATGTGTTACCATTTAAAAAAACAAAGTTGACTCCCCTCCAAGGCATAAGGGATTAACTTAAAAAGTATTACATAGTTAAAAATTCAAGAATAATGTGTAACTAAAAATAATAAAAAAAAAAAATGTTTAAATTATTATTATTCTGCAAGTAATTGAGTGGGTTATGATAAAAAAATCACCCTGTATACAGGGTGTTCAGTAAGTCATGTTTGTAACAATGAGAACAATAGAAACACGTTTCCTGACTTATTGAACACCTGTATGTGTATTAAACGTATTGCAAAATATGCGGTACTGTGTCGTCATTATCTTAGAGACGTTATTTTAAAAAATTGATTTTTTCAAACTTATGATGATAAAAAAAAGACCAAAGTAAAAATGTTCAAAACACAATTATATTATAATGCTGAATAATAATAAAAAAAATTCATTAATTTTAAAAATGTAGTTTTTTTAGTAAAAAANACTGTGTCGTCATTATCTTAGAGACCTTTTTTTTGAAAAATTGATTTTTTCAAACTTATGATGATAAAAAAAAGACTAAAGTAAAAATGTTCAAAACCCAATTATATTATAATGCTGAATAATAATAAAAAAAATTCATTAATTTTAAAAATGTAGTTTTTTTAGTAAAAAAATATAAAACTTAATTAAAAAGTAAAAATCTATCCTATTGTTAATTCATAAAAACTTTAGGAGACTTCAAATTGAAAAATTTTGAAATTTTGAAATCTTATATATAAATACATACACTACAGGGTTGTTATTACAAAATACTTGTACTTCACGAATTCAGAATTTTGATAAGTCATAAATTTTATTTTCACAAAAAATTATTTTTATTTATGTATATAGATTTACCCCTCAATCTGCCTTATGAATTGGAATGAGGAATAGTACATTTTTTATTAATGATATTTTAACTAATTTGATTAAATAGTTATAGTTTATCAAATTATTATTTAGTGTTAAAAAATTAATTTTAATAATAGTTACTTTGTCGTCATAATTTAATTCTTGAAAAGAAGTTTTATTATTTGTCTTCAATAATTTTTCTCTTATCTGATAAAAATATAAAAATAATACATAATATTCTTAAATTGCATAAAAGATTATTTATTGCGTTCAAATTATATAGATTGTAATAAATGTTTTAAAATCTATATTCGTGAATCATTTTTAAAATTAGATGTTTATTTAAAAATATGTATTTTTTAAAAATCACAATTGTCATATTTGTAAATTGTATACTTATATTAAAATTTTACATGTCTGATTAATTTAAATTTTATTGACTAATTGATGTTTTTATTTATGAATCATTATAAAATAATTGTAATATAATTAATATATCCGTATTAAATTGTTACCCTTTCGTTTTTTCTAATTGCTTCACGTTCTTGTTTTTCAAATAATTCTCCTAACCACTCTATATCTTTTTGTATATTAGATATCTATTATATAAAAAAAAAAGACACTTATAATATGACATTATTTATTTTTAATTTTAATTTTTTTACCGAAAAATGCGCTAAGTCGGCAGATACGGATTCCATTGATTGACATGGCGAAATAACGACAAAAAACAATAGTCCAATATAAATTTGATATTGCATTCTACAATATTTTCTAATTTATTTCAAATACTAAACTATTGTTTAATTTTTAATGTGTTAACTTAATTTTGAAAATATTAATTTATATATGGTTATATATGCTAGAAAATCAAAAAAATATTGATTACTTATTTATTTGTTACATACAAATTTATCATGAACAAATGACGTTATAATTCATAGATATAAATAACTAATTTATGACTTTATAGTTTAAATCAGGGTTTACAGTTTGAAATGAAAATTTTCTTTTCGTTTTAATGTTATAACTTTTAAAACGTTTTAATTTTTTTTTTTTAACGATATAACGTTTTATAAAGTTTTTTATGTATAATGTTATGACATACCTGCCCGCCTTGAAATATTACATTTCAACATGGATAAGTATTAAAAAGTAATAATAATAAGTGGCTGACTCAGTAATGCGACAGTGTTTGACGCGCACTGCCTTGGGTTCGAAACTTGGTCGCGGTCGGCTTCATTTGCCAAACGTGTTATAATACATACACCACTCATTATTCTGTAGTCTATAAATTATTGTCTATTGATCATCAAATTAAATATATATTATTAATATCAATCTTTTAAACTATTCCGAGAAATATGTATAAAAATGCAGTTATACAAATCTAATGTAATAACTAACACATTTAAGTAATAAATAGATAATAGTAAAAGATCGTGACACTTCTTGCACATATAGATGAATTAAATTTAATATAAAAGGGCACAAAAACTGTCAATTCGATCCATTGCTTCTTCATTTTATGAACTTTTAACAAGTGCAAGAAGTGGCTCGACAAATTTACGATTTCACACAGAAAATTTAAGTATATTTATTTTTCAACCTTACTTCTGATATCATGAAGGTAAATTCATATTTCACAGAAAATTTATAAGGTTTAAAGTATAATGAGTACATAAATTAAGTAGGGAACTAGAAAAATAATGTGATCTCAAGAATAAATTATTGTTTAAATAAATAAAGGAAATCAATAACATTTGTACGAAGTCAGCCAGCCTAGTACAATTATTGAGTGGGTTACCTGTGTAGTCAATGCTAATAAAGACTCCCTTGCAAAGATAGAGAACCTACTCGTGGTTCCTATACTACTCCAGATATTTATTGGCACGGCTCACAATAAGCACAATCTAAGATAACTACTAGTACGAGCGGCGTTGTTGACAATTTATGTGTGATAATTAATCACAATTATTTCTATTTCACATTATTTTTATATTAATAAATTTTCAAACATTACTTTGCTTTTCTATATTTTACATATTTTTATGAAACCCTCGTACTCATATCCCGAATTAAAATTATATTATTTTATTAAAATAATATGTAGTAACTCAATTATTCTCATGCTCATACAAGATCAACAAATAACTAATTTTATATACCATTTTAATCATAAAAAAACTACCATTTTTACATATACATTATTTGTTTTAATAGATTATTAAATAAATAAACACACAATAACAATATTATATAAAGTAAGATCAATAGTGATTAGCTTACGAGATAAATGTATCATGCATTATTTCTCAAATAATCAAATAATTCTAATACTAATTATAGTAAAAACAAAGAGTACAAAGTCTATCAATTTCAAGAATAGTAACTGTTATTTTTAGGAATAGCAAAAATAGGCAGGGGTAAAATTTATTTAAGTAATTGAATGTATTTTTTGTTTAATTGTAAATTTTTTTTTAACTAGCAACATGATTTATAAAAAAAATGTTCAACTAAAACAATAAATGAAGCGTGGCAGGATCAAGTGATCTAAGTGTTAAAAACTCAACGACAATTTTTATTATATCAAATTAATCTGTATAACTATGCCAACAATATGAAAAAAAAACCAACTTCAATAACTATTTATGCAAATGGCACCTTATGTAAAAATGGAATAGTTCTTATTGATTTCCCAAAAAGTTTTTTGGTTATAGATCACGTGTCAAATATTTTTAATTAAGAGGGTATTACACCCTAATGATTCTCTCAAAATTACCCTGAATTTTATTTATTGATATTTTAAGTGCATGAATAACAGATAATTTAAATTATTACACTACTAAAGTATAATCTCATTTTATAGTATAATTAAAGTATAGTTTATTATTAGAGGAACGGTGTGACCGATTTTGATATGGTGTCCTACTACTTGATGCTATAGCCGATCTGACTCCTTCATGAATCACATGACTTGGTTATCTGAGCCGATGAACATTCTCCATTCTTTGTTGTTCTAAAACTTCGGACTTTACAACCCCGATAAAACTTTTAAGAACTCATTATTTATAGTTAAATTCTTAATCTTTAATTAGAAATTATCTGTTTACTAGGCCAGTAGTTGTTCGCAATTTATTGATAAAATTAAAAAACTCCAATATGACAAATATTTATACAAGTAACGTTTTAACATATAATAATAAATGATACAACCATTAGCTAATAGACTCACTAACAAGTTGCTCTCCTTCCTTTATTCCATTTTTGTGTTTGGAATTATTTTGATATTACGATTTCATTATATCCATCAAATCTATTTCGCTTATAATTCACAGTTCTTTATCAAAATCTATTGTATTCATCAAGATATTAACTAATTTGTAAAACTTAATATTGAAGCTGCCATTTTATGTTGTCAGCTATGGTTCGAATTGTTCGGAATGTGTATTTGTTTTTCCGATACATTGCTTTCAGCGGAAAGATAATCATACCTTAGGTCATCTCTTCCATTTTAAAATGTTAACATATGTGCAATATTTTTACATATAACCTTTATCAGTACCTCACCTAACCTATGTATAATATGTTTAGTACACTATATATAGGGCTATTCACTTTTATTATTATAGTTTATACTGTTCAAGTATTTCTTAAATCATTTAATTTAATAACATAATATTGTCAAATAAATATACAACATTATTTGTAATATAAGTAAAACGTTGTACTTATAGAAAAATTTGGATTGTTCAGAACACGGAGCACAGGGCATGGGATCACTCGACATGGTCTTTGAATGTGTAAACGTTTCAATACATTTTCAGAAATTAAGTTGAAAAACAATTTTTATATATGCGTAGGTGGTCCTTTCAATCCCTTCTTGTCCTTACGTTTTTCATTGAATTTTTATAAAAATTTTAACAAAAGAGTAGGATAACCAAATAGGTTCAACTCAGTTAAAATCTTATTCTGTTTTGCGTTTGTCACTACTTTTCTCAACTCCCACTGAACCGATTTTGATGAAAAATACGTGAAATGATCACAAATTGTACCTAGCCCTCAAAAATCGGAAAAAATTCCCTCAATCCCCGGAAATGGTCGAAATGCTCAAAAATATTACAATTTTAAAAATCGGTCATTTTCCACATTTTTTCAATTTTTTTCTTAATACTGTCACAACATTTTGAAAAATGAACGAAACAAAATAATTTTTTTTTATAGATACATTAGGTAATTACCAATAATTTAATCAATTTTTGGGAACATTTGACTTTTTACCTTCTCACAGGTGGAGTTTGAAAATGGCAACTTTTATAGTAATTCAAAAAGAAAAAAAAAATTAATTACATGAAAGGTTGGACTGAGCTACTATTTTGGTTGTATTAATAATATTATTACTCAGGGTACGAGTACAAATGTTTGTAACTTACAAATTGTAAGAAAGATGGAAGATAATAGAAAAATAAAGTGATCTATATTTTATTAATAAAAGATTTATTGTAATTAATTAGTTCTGACGGTTATCAATGATAGTTGGGAATGAGTCACCTAGCACGTCAACCCAGAGTAGTATGGAAGCTTAATCTCCTATTTAACTCTTGAAATATACTCGTATCAAAGATATAACTCTGTACAAACATTATCAATTTATTAAAGTTACTTGATCTATTTTGTATTATTGATAATCACTTAATTTTTCTTTGTGCCTACTTAATCTATGTACTCATAGAATTTAATTCTAAACCTTATACATTTTTGGTGAAATTATTAGTGTCCTACCTTGAATATCCAATAAATACTCTGAAATGAATAGATGTTGTTTTCTTATGCAGTTATAACGTAGACACGACAAATCACTTCTTGCAAATAATTCGATAGGAAAACAAAGTGTAAAATGGGCTAATAGCAATTGAACGTGTTGATAAACTCTGATAATAACAAGTTATATCAAATGAAAGAGAAATACCTAAGGTTTCAATATAAAAAAATTATTTTGTTTCGTTCATTTTTCAAAAAAATATGCAGCTTTTAAGTTCCAAATAAACATTGATTTTTACACGAAAATTACATTTTTCGTTTAATTCCGATGGACATTTGCACATAGAAGTTAGGTCGTCGGGAAAAATTTTTTTTTTAACTTATCGTACATAATGTAAGCTTAAATTTAACATATGGATTAAGAACTCAGTATTCCCCGGAACATTTTTCAAAAGTTAAGTTGAAAAATGTCTAATTTTTATACATGTGTTTCAAGTTTTGAACGCCTCCTGTAATTCGGCCGATTTAAAAAGAAATTATGTCAGATGAAAGGGCTATATATAATATATTTAGAATCAAAAATTTTTGTTGATCCAAACATTTTTCAAAAAGTTATAATAATTAAAATTTAAAAATATAAAATCGAAAATTTTAACACAAATATAGCATTGTTTTACTACGGTACTCATTTAAACTTAGAAAATAAGTCGTTGAGACAAATTTTTTTTTAATATATAGTACGTACATAACATTAAAAATTAACTTTTTATTATTATTATTATTATTTTTTTTTTTGTGTCTGTCACTATTTTTTCTCACTTCTCACTGGACCGATTTTTCTCAACGATACGTCAAAAGATCACAAATTGTATATAATTGAAGACATTATCCTCAAAAATGAAAAAATTTTCCCTCGTCCCTTGTAAATTTGGACAATCCCCCAAAAAATTACGATTTTTAAAATCGATAAATTTTGATATTACTCAATTTTTTTTTTTTTAACTGCCATAACTAATTGAAAATTGGACGAATCAAAATAATTTGTTTTTATATCAAGACCTTAGATATATTCCTTATATGTGATATAATTTTTTTGAAAATTGAAAAAGTGTTTTTTGAAAACACTTAACCTGTTCACAGGGGGGAATTTTAAGTAACAACTTTTTTACCAAAGTCAACTTTTTCAATTTAAGTTTTGAAAATGTTCCGGAAATACTCTGAGCTACAAATATATGTGAAATTAAAGCTTATAATAAATACTATAAGGTCAAAAAAAAAAATTGCCCTCACGACCTATTTTTATGTGCAAATAGTAGTCAAAGTTGAACAAAAAATAAGAGTTCATAATTAAAGACTTTCAATTTTTATTCATGTTTGCCATAAAAGTAATAATTACTTTATAATTTTTATAAATTCTCCAAAAAATTTACAATGCTAAATTATTAAATATCAAACTAATACTTATTTAATTGCTATGATAAATATTAATTCATATATTATACTTTTAAATTAAAGAACTAATCAGGAATAATAAAGATAATAGGAATTTATTTTGCTTATGTTATAATCCACCTACTTCTTAATATTAAACACTCTCTATAGATTTGCATCGAAATGTTTCTTATGATAGTGATTTTAATCATAATCTGATATCATCTATACTTGTACCATTTATGGTACATGTCTATACAGTACCGCGACCCCACTGTGCTATTGTTTTTTTTTTAAAGATATAAATCAATATTTATTTCTTTTTAATATATTTTTTGTTGCAATTTTCCTCAGGTGGACCCTATTCACTCATATCTCCTACATAGTAATATTATCTATATAATTTATTTTTAATGAGCACTTTAAAAGTTGAAGTTTAAATTTATCAATTGTACTGATAATATGCACATGTTTTATTTTAATTATAAATTTGTTTTTCATTATCATTATTCTAATTCAATAAATAATGAGAGCAGATATGTTAATCACATAAATCTAGTTTAAAAGAATACTAAGTATTTAAGTATTAAATATTGTTAAAGTATAAATATTCGAAAAGACTTGTTATGTATCAGGGGTGTCATATGTATTAAATTTATTATTCTTTACTGTGTGAGTGTTATCGGTTAATATTTTGTTTGAATAGTGTTCTTTAATACCTAAATTAAACTGTATTATAATAGATTTAATTATATTATTCATAAATTCATTTTGATTCAGACAGAAAATAATGACAAAAGTGTATAAATAATAATTTTAATAAAATATATCATAAATAGAAATGGAACAAACAGTGACGGAATATCTTTGAATATATTATTGTAATTGTTAAGAATATACATTCATTTGCTTACATAATGATTCATCTTTTTGAACACCTACGTCATTGTATGATTGAACATAATTAAAAAATATATTTACTAGGTATATAAATTTTATTTCTAAGTATTCATCTAAGTATTCTTTATTAAATACGTAAAAATATTAAAATTAAACATAAAATCAAATACGATAAAATTATGAATTTTTATTTAAGAAAATTGAAAATTATAAGATTAATATAAATAATATTGTATAATATTTGTTTTATATAAGATATGTTATATAAAACAAATAAACTATATTACTATTTATTAATTAGTATAATTTTAATTTTCTCTGTGCATCTTGAAACGCATACATAAAATTTAATTATAGAAACGCTGTAATTATAATGATATTTTGTTGAATAGTTCGTTATAGTTTGAATTATACAATTATCTCATTTTAAGGATAAACATTTTTTATAGTTCTCCTAAAATTGATAATTTGTTTGTATACAAACAAACTACAGGTGGGCACAAACTTCTAATAACTTTTTATTAGAAGTTTCCAATATATAAGTGACTATTTAGGGATTGAGCCTAAATGCTCGCCAACAGTAGTCTAGGGTCTTACAAGAGACGAATAGAAAAGTTTTTCTATAAGAATTTTTTGATGAGAACAGTAATTAATAAACTTATGATTTAAAAAAAAATAAATAGAAGTATAAATGTATTAATTATTATTTTAAAAAATATGATAATTTTTTTTGAATAATTTGAATTAATTTATAATAATTTAAAATCAACTAGTAAGTATTAACATAGTTTAATTTTTAATTTAAATAGAAGTTAAAAACCCTGCACAGGGGGATCGTGGCACAGTGGTGACGTGGCATAGTTGGATCAAGTATTATGATATCTGACAGTGATTAAAATCACTATCAACAAAAACGCTTCGATGCAAATCTTTAGTGTTTAATTTTGAAAAATTGGTGGATTATACCAAAAGCAGCATGATCTGCTAGTTCGTTATTAATATCCTGATGCAGATAAAGTATGTCGAATGAAAAAGGGATTATTAAAAAATATTATTTCTCATAAAAAAATAATGTTGATCCATACACTTTTCAATAAGTTATAGCATTATAAAGTTAAAAATGTAAAAAATAAAATCGAGAATTTTTACAAAATAATAGCATTTGGTAGCTATTTTCACCGTGAAGATAAAATAAAGTCCGAAATTTTTTTTTCATGATAAAGTATATTACATAAGATTTAATTTAAGATATATATAAAAGTGTCAGACTTTCCGGAACACTTTAAAAAATTAAGTTGAAAAAGTAAATTTTTGTGAAAAAGTTTTCATTTTGAATCCCCCCCTGTAGGCATGTAAAAAGTGAGATTTATAAATATACCAACTGATAGGTAAAGACATCATGCATCTATAAAAAAAAAATTATATTGATCCATACATTTTAGCTTCGATGCGAAGCTGAGAAGGTATTGGTTTTACTATGATGTGTTTTTTTTTTTTTTTT